TAGAGGCAAGCATAAGTTGGAGAAGAGATGGTATAAAGAAAAGTCCTACTTCAGAACAGGGCAAGACAACTTTCTAGAAAAGGCAGTGTTTGAGTATTAATGAATAAATGGGATCTAGCTGGGGAAAGGCAATGGAGGTGGGGAGAATTAGGTGCAGGTGCAAAGGTCCCAAGGTGAGAAGGGCAGGGGATGTGGAAAGCTCCATGTAGGGGGATCTCCTGGGCGCAAGAGGTCTTGTGTGTTTAAGTTTTGGGGTTTGACTGTTAATCCAACTGGAGGCATAGAAAGGTTTTAAGGAGTGGCATCTGTGCTTTGGAAGGGCAGTTTGGCAATAGGTTGGAAGGCAGACGGCAAGGGGCAATGCATGTCAGGAAAACCAGTTAGAAAAGTATTGCATTGAAGAGAGAATGGTGTCCTGAAATAAGGCAGAGGGAAATAAAGCATGAATGCGGAAATGACTTGGAAACAGAACAGAAAGGAATTTGGTGATAAATGGAGGCAGCACAGCACAGGGGAGCTGGAGTTAGACTCTACTGTGGATCTTGGGCAAACTACACTTGTGCCTCAGCTTCCTCACTTATAAACCAGGAATGATAGTCTTAGCGCTTGTCTCATAGTGTTGATGGAAGACTGAAGGAGTGAATAGTATGTGAAGGCTTGGGGTACAGCCTAGCACACTATCTTACCCAGGAAATATTAACTATGATTATGGAGCTCAGAAAAAAAGAAGAAAGGAATGACTAAGTTCACTCCCAGGATTCTGGTTTGGGCAACTATCTATGCAGTTCTCAAAGTGTGTTCTGTGGACATCTAGAGGTCCCAATGACCCTTCCACACAGTATGTGAAGTCAAAAGTATCTTATAGTAAAATGTATTTTAACAATAAAATTGTTTTTAAAACTGCATCTCAACTGATTCTAATTTTAAAAATTGGCCAGGTGCAGTGGCTCCTGCCTGTACTCCCAGCACTTTGGGAGGCCGAGGCGGGCAGATGATTTGAGGTCAGGAGTTCAAGGCCAGCCTGACCAACATGGTGAAACCTCATCTCTACTAAAATACAAAGTGTTTTTTTCCTTTAGGTATGTTTTAGATAAGCATGAAGGATAAGCAAGTTTCATTAAATGGGAAGAAAATGTTTTATTCCTTTCTTGTTACGTGCGAAATACTGATTATCATTAAGCACCATTCATTTTTGCTTAGCTTCAAATGAGTCTCATGACAATAAAACTATGTGAAAAATACCTTGGTGAAAATTTTGAACAATCTGACCAACAAGATAAAAGTATTATTGAATTATAATTCAAATTATAAAATGAATATCCATGAGTGCATACTGATAGGAATAAATGACTAAGTTAATGAATGGGGAAGAAGAGACAAATCTCTAATGCAGAATAAATTAAAATAATACAGATACTTCACCCTAAAAAAGATCACTCCTCACTCCTCAGGTGTGGGCTGCACACAGTGACTTCCTTCCAAAGAGCACAGTATGGAAAGGGAGGAAAAAGAATAATTTTACAATGGAGAAACCTGACAAACATTACCTCAGCCAGGGGATCAAGATCAACATCAATAGTAATAAATCATGATGTCGGTATGAACTCTTAGTATGATGTGATGGAAATGGTACTTTATCTCTATGATCTTCCTCCCCAAACCCATAACCCCAGTCAACTCCTCTACTGGAATTCATCTGATGTTTTTGTCTCATGGTTAGTCTACAAAATACTTGACCAGCACTCCTCAAAACTGTCAAGGTCATCAAAACAAGAAAAGTCTGAGAAACTGCCATGGCCAAGAAGAACCTAACACATGACATCTAAATGTTATGGTTATCCTGGATGAGATCCTAAAGCAGTAAAAAGATATTAGGTAAAAACTAAAGACACTTGAATAAAGTATGGACTTTAGTTAATAATAACACATCGACATTGATTCATTAATAGCAAACACATCATAGGGTAATAAATGTGCCATACTATAAGATGTCAATAAGAGGGGAAACTGTGCATGTGTGGTGGGTGGGAGACGGGAGTGGGTATATGCAAGTCCTGTTCCACCTTATCAATTTTTCTTTAAAACTGTTCTAAAAAATAGAGTCTATTAATGTTTTTAAGAGTCTGGTATTTACTGGGAATAATTCCACCATCCATCCACCATCCATCATGGTAACCTAGAGACTTAAAGTTTTGTAATGGGATATCCTACACAGAATTCAAACCAGCATTTACCCAAATCCTACTATTTATGCCTTTGAACTGCTGAATACTGGCTATAAAAAGGTGAACAAAACAATTTCCGAGGCCTAGTTGGAAATAAAAGACATTTAATTTTTGTCCTGTAAGATGAGCATAACTGTAGCACAGAGAAAAGGATCTGTGAAGCTTCGACAGAGGAGATATACTAAAGAAAAGGTACAGAATAAAGAAATGGGTGGGCTAAGCCTGAATTTTTTTTTTTTTAAGCCTGTGCCTCCAAGAATCTTCTGGGGTTTTTTTCCTCCTGAAAATGAATGTCGGAGCAATCAAAACAGTTACCCCAAAGAAGCATGGTAGAGGCCAACAGTTTATTTACCATGGTGTTTTACCTTTACATGTACAATAGGGGAAAAAAGTTTAGGTGAATTTTAAAACGGATAAGTAGGAAAAAAGCAAGCTAAAAACAAACATACCCGCCCCCCGCCCTTTATTTTCTCTTTTTTTTTAACAGACCCACTTGTCTACTGACCAGGTACCTGTAATATGGGAGAATTCACTCTATTCCTTTCCACACAAAGAAGTCTTGGAATTTTCTAATTTCTCCTTTACTATGATTGTATTCTGTTCACATAATAGCCAAGAGTATGGCAAAGGACATTTATAAGAGCAGTGTCTTTTAAAACCAATTTACTAGTTAACTCAGTACCGAGCATACATTCATCATTCAAAGATGAATCCCACAAACGTCGCTCGACATACTGGTTTTCAGTACATTTAATCAAATTCAACCACGAGGGCCACCAGTTCTGCTCACTATCAGGTGACGCTTGTTGGGAGACCCCTGACCCCTTTTCTTGACATCATGCTGTTGGACCTTTAAGCTAGCTATACCGGCAACTGCGTTTTGAGTGACTGCAAAAGGGAGGCAACTTCTGCACCGCCCAGAGCCATCCTAATCGTTAGAAATAGCAGAAAGTTTCTTGGGACTGACAAGGCATGAACTTCTCCTGATGCTGTCACCTTGGGCAAAGCTCTTACAGGTAAATTAGGGAGAGAAACAATTACTTTGTCGGCGTCACGAGACGAAGAATGGAAAAAGCGTGGAAAAGGACTTCGCCCGCCCCAAAGCGACCGTCCGGCGGCGGCTATTTCCCGGGCCTCAAGCGCGCTCCAGCGGCGCAGCACAAAAGACCGGGCGGGAGCCGGGGTCGCCGGGCGCCGCCTCCCGGTGCATCTCGGGAAGGGCTCCCGCCCGCGCAGCTCCGTCTCCCCAGCGCGGCCCGCTCGCCCTCCCGCTCGCCCAGGGCCGGGGCAGACGTGGCCCGCCCGAGCTGCCGCGGGTCTCCGAGAGGGCTTCGCACTGCTCCTCCACCCGGGGGATCTTTGTTCCTAGATCTGTTCCCCGCCTCGCTGCTCCCGCCGCAAAACCTCTTTGCGGAATACCCGCCGCAAGTCTGACTTGATGATGTGCAGTTTTGGGGCGCGCTGGTTGTGGGGGCATTCATAGAGGCAGCGAAGGGACCCCTAAGTTTAAACACTCCGGGAACGGTAAAGGAAGAGCGTCGGGCCCGCCTCCTCCCAACAGCGCTCGGGCGCGAACGGCGCCCTCCCGCGCTGCCGGCTCGCGCGGGCTCCACAGGGCGCGCTGGCGGCGGCGGCGGCGGCGGCGGCGGCGGCGGCGGGGCGGGGCGCGGCAGGCAGGCCCGGGGCCTGCACGTGGTGGCGACCGTTCTTCCCACCCGGCCATGTCCCCGGGGACCACCGCGCTCATGGGGAGGGGTAATGCCGTTCTCGGGCTCGCTCCGAAGAGGGGTTTTACCCTCGGGGACCCCGGAATTGGAGGTGGAGACTAGAGAGGGAGCAAGGGAGGGCGCGGCGTGGCGCGAGCGTTTCCTGCGCGGGGACTGCGGGGTGGCAGCTGGAGGCCACTGCAGGGGCACGGCGGCGGGCTGAGGGAGCGACCCACCCATGGGGAGAGAAACCCGGTAGGGGGAGCAGGGAGCCGGAAAACAGGGTTGATACATACCTGGGTGGGCGGCCGGGAGATGCCTTCCCAGAGCGTGCAGCGCAGGGCTGGCGGAGCGGGCTCCGAGTGGTTGCGGACCGGGACGGAGGAGCGCAGAGCCGCACGTGGCTCTGCGCGCTGCTGAGCGATGTTTACATTCTGCAGCCACTCCACGTTGTGCTGCCGCCCGCGCTTCCCATTGGCCAGCTCTTCAGCCAACGCTTCTCTCCTCCCCGAGGGGCGGGCCCTCGGGTCCCCGCGTCGCTCGGGAAAGACCCGGGTTCCCTGAGGCCTTGGCGGGACAGCTAGGGCGCGCCCCAGGACGGTCACTTCCCAGCCACCCTATAGTCGCCCGAGTCACGTCGCCCTGTTATGCGCCCGGGCTGAGCTGCAGCCTGATACCCCCGAAATGCAGTGGGAGGGAGCAAGAGCAAACTGGCGGGAGATGCGACAGCCGGGCGGTGGGGAGGCCAGCCGCGGAGAAGGAGCCCCTGAGAGTTTCCCTGCCGCCGCCGGCCGCGCCGTGGAGCGCGGTGGACGCAGGCCGAAGGCCTGGGAGAATGCACCCCACAGCCGCTCCGGGTGGCGGGCGCGCACTGAAAGCAGGGCGCGGCGCGCGGGCGCGCGGGCGGACGGGCGGGAGAGGGGAGCGCGCTGTCCGGAGGTGTCAGTCTGAGGCGCATGCGTGTAGGGCGGGCCCGGCCCGGCCTATATATTGTGTTGGCGCCGGCGCCAGCTGAGCCGAGCGGTAGCGGGTCTGGCGGTGAGGAGGTGCTGCGCGAAGGGGGGATGCGGGAGGAAAGAAAGCCCAGTTGGGCCGATCCCTTACCACAGGCGGGAGCCTCAGGGAGGAAAAACGGGAGGGCTGAGAACTAGACGGCTGGGGGTCACGGGTCCCCGCGTTCCGTCCCTGTCAGGAATCTTGGCATGGGGCCGGGAAGCGGCAGGGCATGGAGAGCCGCCCCTCATTCTAGGGGCTTCTCTATCCCACCCTCATTTAGGGAGCTATCCCGTGGGAGAGAGAATGGGAGGCCGGGTCCCCTCCATGGGGAGAAAAGTTCCCGGCCAGCCCAGTCTCCCCTTTCTTTAGCTCCGTTTCCTACCCTCCCCCCCGCCCCCCGCTTCCCATCTGGAGTTGGGGTCCCGGCGCCTCTCCGAGCGTCGGTAGGGCGGCGGGACCGGGAAGGAGGGAAAGGAGACTGAAGGCCGTGACACCAGTCTCGGTTCCTCCGCCCCCTGCTTCCTCGCCACCGCCGCTCTCCAAATTGGCGCGGAACCGGCTTCTCCACAGCCTTTTGCCTCCACAACCCCCTCTCCGCGCTCGTCCAGGATGGGAGGCGGGACGCGGGGGCGCTACCCAAGCCCCACTCCCGGTGTACGGGGGAGAGGGTGGAGGACCCAGAAAAACCCGTTTAAGGAAGATGTGCCTCCCTACGCGTTCAGGGTGCCAGGAGTGCTTGGTAAATTTTTGGACACCCGCGTCCCGGCTGTACATTCAGTTAAGAAAATGCAGGCGTGTATCCAAAATGAATTACCATGAGCTAGCTAACATAGCACAGAAGATGGCAGGGTCACACGGCCCAGGCCCCCTTCGGAGGGACTGAGCTTTCACCTCCAAATCAGCACTTGGAGAATGTGAATGACAATGTACTTGACTGCGGCTTTTCCTCTCCCCCCTTCAGAGGTTTTACACACCTGAAAGAAGAGAATGTCAAGACGAAGGTAACATCTGTCTTAGAGACATGTTTCAAATTAGTTGCCGCCTTTAACTTACTAATTACACTTCCTTTTTAAAAATTCACCACAGTAGCCGTTTACAAGCTAAGCAGCAGCCCCAGCCCAGCCAGACGGAATCACCCCAAGAAGTCCAGATAATCCAGGCCAAGAAGAGGAAGACAACCCAGGTGATTTAAGGAGAAAGAGGGAGGAACGAAATGCCATGCTGGGACTTTAGTTTACCAATGGTCTTTTCTATTTTCCAGGATGTCAAAAAAAGAAGAGAGGAGGTCACCAAGAAACATCAGTATGAAATTAGGGTAATGCAGAACTGGACTGGGTGGGTTTGGGGGGAAAATGGAGGATAGACGAATAAGAATAGAATTATGTGTTTATTGCTTTGCAATAGATTCCTCTGACACTTTTACTTCTAATGCCCCTAGAGGTCAGCAGGAAGGCGCTTATCTTTGGGTGGTTTCTATGTGCCCGAATCCTACTACAGCTGCAGAGTAAGTGTCTTCAAGCAGCTGGTTCCTTTTTGTAAATCCCTCCCTCTTGGAACTGCCTGGTGCACCAGGACCCGCCTAATCTGTCCAATATACTGCTCTTTGTTCCCTCGCAGACTCTAGTAGACGGTCCTAATAGCTGCTTCTTGGGCATAAATAGGATGTGAGATCATTGACAGCCTGGCACGCAGCCCTTTGGTACCTCTTCTTCCTATGTGTTTTACAGAAAGCACTTTAGAGATAGTGATTGCCTTTGAAACCAGCATTATTGGGAAAAGGATCCTTTAAGTAATTGATTCCATTTTTAAGGTTTTGCCTTCAAATATTCAAAAGTATCAGAGCACACTTGTTTTAAAAAGAGCTATTTGGAAAAAAAAAAAAAAAGTCCCTGCTACTATTGCTAGATACAGAGAACTGCGATTCTGTGATCTTGAAAGTGATTAGTATTTTAGACTACGGATGCATTTTGTTATTACTGCCTCCTTCAACACCTAGTGTCTTCTATTACCAGAACTGCATTTTGTTGTCTAAAACATCCTGTTACTCTATAAAAATCAACATGAGTTATATGGCTTGTTTATAAAATATGAATGTCAAATTAGCTGTATTGCCATCTGTGTTAGCTAAAATTACAATTCTTTAGACATATTAGCTTTCATTTATAAAAGATCCATTATAAAAACTAAGGTTTTCCTTGCACAAATTGATATTCTTCTTTATTTTTAATGACAGAATTGTTGGCCACCTGTATTATCTGGGGGGATCAGTCCTTGCATTATCATTGAAACACCTCACAAAGAAATAGGAACAAGTGATTTCTCCAGATTTACAAATTACAGATTTAAAAATCTTTTTATTAATCCTTCACCTTTGCCTGATTTAAGGTAAGAAAAATTTCAGTAATTTTATTTCAAAGATATAAAGTTGTGCTGATTTAATACATGGCACTATTTTGTCTTTTGCTGTCATAAAATAGAAAAACTCGTAAAAATTGTTTTCTTTACTAATATTTAAACATATGTTATTTTATCTGAGAGTACCGCAAATGATGGTATTTAAAACACTGATTCCATAAAATTATTTTCATTTGCTTGCTGAGTACTATAAAGATTTAACAGGACTGAATTAGTTTTTTGTTAAGATAGAAACATTTTTTCATGTACAGCTTTTTCCTTTAAAATTTTTATTCTTGTTTCTTGCAGCTTCAACTCAAAGGAAGCTTTTTCAATAGATGTATCAACCCTATTTATTTCTTACCAAACTTAGTAAGGTCTATACTTCTTTTTTCTAGTCCATGAGTATACTAAAGGTACAGCTTATACAAAACATGTAGTATATTATGATTGGCCTTAATAAGGAACTTAATGGAATCAAGACACTTAAACTCACCAATCCCCCTTTCCCTGGACTCTGTCCCACCTTACCCACCCCATAGGTGATCCTGCTATAGATGATCTATTTAGAGGTGATTGAGACTTCTTGACTGATCACATGCTTTACGTATTTAAATTTTTGTATTGCTCTTGAGAAAACTTTTTTTTTCACTTTTAATTGCATTTATTTTAACGCTGAATTTACTTCTGTGGCGTAAATTTTTGTTTCTTCTGGGATATCTTTTTCTTCTGGGCAACCTCCTTTTCTGGTGTAAGAACAATTTGTTCCTTTTCACTAAAGATCATTTCGATGCGGCAGGGAGATATCATGTATGAGTTAATCCATGAGCTCTGTAGGTCCGTTGGCAAATCATAGGTACTTTGTTCACTTGGAGATGCTCAATGACTGGAGACTCTACATTTAAACTCTTAAGTTCAGCATTACTCTCTGCATTTTTAAGCATGTGCGGCAAACATTCAGCACTATTTGGACCACCAACCTTGTGTCCAGTCCCACTGCTTGGCCTAGGCACACCTACCAACTCCACCATTGTAATGTCAGAATGGTACATGCTGTTTCTGTAAAGTGACATTTTAAAAATACTTCATGGTGTTTCGTTTTTTTTTTTTTTTTTGGAGACGGAGCTTTGCTGTTGTCGCCCAGGCTGGACTGCAATGGTGCGATCTCGCTACTTCCACCTCCCAGGTTCAAGTGATTCTCCTGCCTCAGCCTCCTGAGTAGCTGGGATTACAGGCATGCCACCACACCTAGCTAATTTTTTGTGTTTTTAGTAGAGATGGCGTTTCACCATGTTGGCCAGGCTGGTCTCAAACTCCTGACCTTAGGTGATCCACCCGCCTCGGCCTCCCAAAGTGCAGGGATTACAGGTGTGAGCACTGTGCCTGGCCACTTCGTGGTTTTTCATATATGCATACCCTTGATAGCCTGGGCAGTTTCACGAGTGTTCTTACAGTGAACACAAAGATTTGAACCTCTTGAGTTGCATGATTTTTGGGGGTTTTCCAGGTCAAGTGAATAGCCAACCATTTTCACAGATTACCTCAGACCACTTAGGGGAAAAGCAACATGGTTATCTTTTATCAGCAACCTTTGTAAAGTATAAATAAGTGGGACTAGAAAGCACTCCCTTTGCAAGTTTGGATGATCATAGTCCAGGTTCCCACTGTTATTTCAGGCTTCTATTTATTCATGCAAAGGAAATGGTTTCCAAAAATTAAGGTAGAAGTTTTTTTTTCTAATTTACTCTAAGAGCTTCTTCCAAGTTCTAATTAAAAGTTGCATTTCAGGCCGGGCGCGGTGGCTCAAGCCTGTAATCCCAGCACTTTGGGAGGCGGATCACAAGGTCAGGAGATCGAGACCATCCTGGCTAATACGTTGAAACCCCGTCTCTACTAAAAAAAAATACAAAAAGCTAGCCGGGTGAGGTGGCGGGCGCCTGTAGTCCCAGCTATTCAGGAGGCTGAGGCAGGAGAATGACATAAGCCCGGGAGGCGGGGCTTGCAGTGAGCTGAGATCCAGCCACTGCACTCCAGCCTGGGCAACAGAGCAAGACTCCATCTCCAAAAAAAAAAAAAAAAAGTTGCATTTCAGTGTCTGAAAGTTGATTTTTATCTATGTGAAACAGAGTTTGTATATTACATAGATTGCACAATTTAAATTATGGTTTTTAGCCGGGCATGGTGGGTCACACCTGTAATCCCAGCTCTTTTGAGTGGCTGAGGCAGGTGGATCACTTGAGGTCAGGAGTTCGAGACCAGCCCAGCCAACATAGTGAAACCCCATCTCTACTAAAAATACAAAAACTAGCCAGGCTTGGTGGCAGGCACCTATAACTCCCAGATACTTGGGAGGCTGAGGCACAACAATCACTCGAACCCGGGAGGTGGAGATTACAGTGAGCCAAGATTGTGCCGCTGCACTCTAGCCTGGGCCACAGAGTGAGACTCTGTCTCAAAAAAAAAAAATTATGGTTTTTTCCCTCTCTTCCCGTAGCTGGGGATGTTCAAAAGAAGTCTGGCTAAACATGTTAAAAAAGGAGAGCAGATATGTTCATGAAAAACATTTTGAAGTTCTGCATTCTGACTTGGAACCACAGATGAGGTCCATACTTCTAGACTGGCTTTTAGAGGTATGTTACACCAATACAAATTTCCTTCATCTCTGTATGATGGAAAAATATTTAGCTGTAAATATGCTTTCCATGTACTCTCCAGAGTTTATTGTTCATCCCCAGGAAGCTGTCTTCTTTGAGGTTACTGTAGTTGATGGTACCCAAAGTGGAAAGTGACTCTATAAAATGACAAACCTACTACATATAACTAAACCCAATCCAGAATTCCTGTTACCTGTGGGTACTGCTATGTACCAGCCACTTTCTAGGTGCCACAGATACTCAAGGTGAATGGAATGTATAGTTGATTAGGTTTTGAATTATGCTATACAAAGTGAAGAACTAGAACTAGGCTTCAGGGCCCTCTGAAGTCTTTTTCTATATTAACAAAATCAACTGATGATGAGGAATCCTGATTTCTATATCCTAAACCGTAATGAGATTATGGATACCTGGAGGCTCTAAGCCCTCTATAGTCCAGGTATCTTCTCTTTATTATATTCTTCTATTCTTTTCTGAAATATACCATTAATTTGAAGGAATAGTGATCCTGAAGCCCCTATAGATTTGTGCCAGAATTTTCTCTCTTATTTAGGTCCATTCCCTTTCTCTGGATAATAGCTCTAAAAAAGTCTCTAAAATTATTATTGAGGAAATGATTACTTATGTTGATGACAAACTGATCTTTCCCCCAACTCTTGGATATTTACTCTGTAGTCTGTCTTTAAGACAGAGATGAAGCATTCTAAGGGAAAAAGACCATAGACTTTTTGGAGGAGTAGCACATGGCAGAATAGATCTCAGAAGCTATCAGAACAGTTTTTAAGACTATACCATGTTGTCCTTTTGCATCAGGTCATCTTTTTCCTTATTCTGACTAGAAGGAAAGATTGTATTTTAATTGTGGGCACAAGAAGGCATTGGGTTTTGACTTTTTCTGAGTGTCTAGTGATCATGGAATCAACCTAAGCATAATTACGTTAATTTTTAATTTTTTTCCTTTTTGTTATACCAATATTCATCCAGTGGTTATCCTATTCAATTTATTCCTGTTTTTCCTAAATATGATTATGTATGGAACAGCATACAGAATCTATCAAATCCGGCAGTGTTAAACTCTTAGTATATTCTTCAGTCTAGGAATGCAAACTTGATTCAACATTTGAAAATCTATTCATTTATTACCTTAACAGTAAATGAGAAAAATGCTAAGATCTCAATAGATGCAAAAGACATTTTTTGAAATTCGACATTCTTTTTTTTTTTTTTGAGGTGGAGCCTCGCTGTGGTCGCCCAGGCTCGAGCAGAATGGCACAAGCCTGGACTCACTGGGCTCTCGGCTCACTGCAACCTCTGCATCCTGGGTTCAAGTGACTCTTGTGCCTCAGCCACCTAAGTAGCTGGGATTACAAGCGTGGGCCACCACACCTGTCTTTATTTTGTATTTTTAATAGACACAGGGTTTTACCACATTGGCCAGGCTGGTCTTGAACTGCTGACCTCAAGTGATCCGCCCGCCTTGGTCTCCCAAAGTGCTGGGATTACAGGTGTGAGCCATCGCACTTGGCCAGCAAATGAGATTTTCTTAACTCATTATTAGAAACTCAGGTGGCCAGGTGTGGTGCCTTATACCTATAATGTCAGCATTTTGGGAGGCTGAGGCAGGCAGATCAGTTGAAGCCAGGAGTTCGAGACCAGCCTGGCCAACATGGCAAAATCCCATCTCTACTAAAAATACAAAAAACTAGCTGGGCATGGTGGCACATACCTGTAATCTCAGCTACTCAGGAGGCTGAGGTAGGAGAATCACCTGAACCTGGGAGGCAGAAGTTGCAGTGAGCCACTGCACTCCAGCCTGGGTGACAAAGCGAGACCCTGTCTCAAAAAAAAAAAAAAAAAAAAACCTCTGGTATATATCTCTATTTCCTCACCTCCAAAATGGGGATAATGGTACCTACTTAAGGAGTTACTGTGAGAATTAAAAGCTTTTCCTAAAAGTGTGGAAATGACAGATACTATTTATTATTATTAACAATAGTGAAACATCAGGGCAATTCCTATTAAAGTCAGAAACAAGGGATAAGATTTTATGACCAATGTTAAACGTTCAGTATCCTTTGATAATTTTTAACCAGTGCAGTAAAATATGAAAAATAAATGAGGTAAGAAAAACTATAAAACTAGTAAATGTGGATAGTAATAGATTTGTTTATCCTAATAACACATTAGTTTCTTTTTTTCCTTTCCTGTCTTAGCTTTGCTATCAGTTTGGCTTAAACATATTTTAAAATCTGATATGCTGAGAGACGACTTTCTAATTTGAGAAATTCAGAGGATAATATTTAAATGTTTGGATTCTTCTCTAGGTATGTGAAGTATACACACTTCATAGGGAAACATTTTATCTTGCACAAGACTTTTTTGATAGATTTATGTTGACACAAAAGGATATAAATAAAAATATGCTTCAACTCATTGGAATTACCTCATTATTCATTGCTTCCAAACTTGAGGTAAGTTCTCAAAGTTTATCCTTAGATATATTTATCCCAAACTTTTTTTTAATCAACGTATTAATCCCAAAGAATACTATGTCTTATATTAACTCCTTAGAAAAGTGAATGTTTTTGTTTCTCAGTACATTTTCTGAACATTATCACAGGGATAAATGATAAATTATCGTAGTTCCCTCTGTAATGTCTGAGCCTTATTATAAATCTCTGGTTTAGATTCTGGGATTAGTATCTAAGTGAAATGTCCCATGGCTCGTTCTGCCAAACGAAACATATTGATGCTCTATTTATATACATAATTATAGCATTTGTATTAAACAGAATGACCTTTGAAAACTAAACAGCTAATGAAATGAAATGAATACTGTGTTGGGTTAGAATAGTGGTTTATTCAGCCTTTTTTTTTTTTTTTTTTTTTTTTTTTTTTTTTTTTAGTCAAAGTCTCACTCTTTCACCCAGCTGGAGTGTAATGGGATGATCTGGGTTCACTATAACCTCTGCCTCCCGGGTTCAAGTGGTTCTCCTGCCTCAGCCTCCTGAGTAACTGGGATTACAGGCGCTTGCCACCACGCCCAGCTGATTTTTGTATTTTTAGTAGAGATGGGGTTTCACCATGTTGGCCAGGCTGGTCTTGAACTCCTGACTCAGGCGATCCACCCGCCTCGGCCTCCCAATGTGCTGGGACTACAGGCATGAGCCACCGCGACTGGCCAGCCTAATATTTTTCTATCTGATGGTGCTGCCATGATAGAAGGCAACTCCTTTCTTAAGATTTTTCCTTCGCATAAGCTCAATTTACTTTTCTTAATACGTGATGGATATCATCAATACTTTCACCTAAGACTTTTATAGCTGGTATCATTTTGAGAGAAGAGAGATTGTGATCATATATTAATTTTTTAAGTGTTTTCCTTTTTCTTTTAAATGTCTTTTGAGCTTTAAGAGCCATCCCCAAATTCTGCTGAATTTGGCACATAAACTTGTGTTCAGTCTATCCTTACTTGAAATTATACTGTTTTAGACAACTTTCTAGACCAAAATCCTGATCTTTTAGCCTGTTCTCCTATGTGGGAGACACCTAATCCTTTGATGATTCTAATTATTCTCTGGAGTGCTAAAACGGACCTGTTAGCCAAACTGCATGAAGTATTTTTTGACTAACCGTATTTTTGTACTAGGGTAAAGGAAATGTTTTTAGTTTCTAGACCTTATTTGTTTGGTGCTTTGCTTTTGTTTTTTGAGACACGGTCTTGCTGTCACACAGGCTGGATGCAGCGGCACTATCACACCTCAGTACAGCCTCGACCTCCCAGGCTACAGCGATCCTGTCACCTCAGCCTCTGGAATAGCTGAGACTACAGGGATGCACCACTATGCCTGGCTATTTTTTCTTGTAGAGACAGTGTTTCTCTTTGTTGCTCATGCTGATCTTAAATTCCTGGGCTCAGATGATTCTCCTACCTCGACCTCCCAAAGTGCTGAGATTATACGTGTGAGCTGCTGCACTGCACCCAGCAGGGTGTCTCGTTTTGATCTGACCAATGTATCGGCAATCTTAAAACAAGTTTGGTTGTTCTTTAACTGAAATGACATAAGATATTCTAGTTGTGTTAATGAAAATTCAAAGTCAATTCTATGAAGTCTTGATAATCAATATAGTTACTAGATACCTAGATATGAAAATGTCTTACTAAGTTTGACTATAGAATTATTTTACTGAGATTTATATTTACTTAGTGAAGCTGTCCTTAAATCTGAAGCTTGTGTGTGATTTGTATATAGATGGTCCCCTACTTACCATGGTTTGACCTACAATGTTTTGACTTTATGATGGTTGAAAACAACCTGCATTCATTATGCCCCTTGACATACAACAGGGCTATGTCTGCATAGGTTGAAAATACCGTAAGTTGAAAGTACACTTTCTGGCCAGGTGTGGTGGTTAATCCCAGCACTTTGGGAGGCCGAGGCGGGCAAATCATTTGCAGTCAGGAGTTTGAGACCAACCTGGCCTACATGGTGAAACCCTCTCTCTACTGAAAATACAAAAAATAGCTGGGCATAGTGGTACACACCTGTAATCCCAGCTACTGGGGAGGCTGAGACACAAGAATCACTTGAGCCTGGAAGGTGGAAGTTGCAGTGAGCCGAGACTGCACCACTGCACTCCAGCCTGAGTGAGAGTGAGACTCTGCCTCAAAAAAAGAAAGAAAAGAAAATGTACTTTTTAAATTTTTGCTTATTTCTCCAAGAAAATAAAAATGTACTTTCTACTTAAATGATATTTTGGTTTATTGGGATGTAACCCCATTGTAAACTGAGGAACATTTGTAATTAATTTCTATCTCAATTGTACTCAATAAAAAAATTACAATTTAAAGGAAATCTACGCTCCTAAACTCCAAGAGTTTGCTTACGTCACTGATGGTGCTTGCAGTGAAGAGGATATCTTAAGGATGGAACTCATTATATTAAAGGTAATAATTATATTTTCCTAGTTGCAAAAAAGAAACCATGTTACTAAGTAACATAAGTAGTTATGATTGAATCTCAAATACTACAATGTAAAAAGTCAAAACTGAGGTATTAGGATCCAGTTCTAAGACGTTAATGCATCAAAATATTGACAATGGTTATGGTTGGATGGGGATTTTACTTAACCTCTAAACTCTACTATATAACGTGATATATGTGTCTACATTCATTAACAGGCATTTTTAAATTTTGTTAACAGGCTTTAAAATGGGAACTTTGTCCTGTAACAATCGTCTCCTGGCTAAATCTCTTTCTCCAAGTTGATGCTCTTAAAGATGCTCCTAAAGTTCTTCTACCTCAGTATTCTCAGGAAACATTCATTCAAATAGCTCAGGTACTGACATTTTTATTGATTCAATGGTAATATTATTATTAATTACAGGTTTTAGTGTATAGTCTTAAATAGGCTATATCACAAAATAATGACATTGACTTCACTCCTGAATTCTAGAACAAAACTTTTGATGCATAAAGTTCTGTCCCCAACGTTTATGTTGCTTAATGTTTCTAGAAAACAAAGTCCTTACACTTTTCTGAGTACTTTCATTCTTTAGGAGTCCAAACTAAAGTATCTTTTTTGATATAAAGGGGAAAAGCATTTTTTAGCCAGTTGTGTTTAAGCTTTATAATGGCACAGAATTATTCTGTATGATGTCTTTACATTTGGATACACAGAGTACCTATCAAGTTAAATATCGGAATTAAAATTACTTTGTTAAAAAAATTTTTTAGAACATAAATTCAAAGTAAACTTTTCCAGGCTAGCATATTTAACAAAGTAAGTAATCAGATGAGGAGGAGGAGGATCTGGCTGGGCGGTGTGGCTCAGGTCTGTAATCCCAGCACTTTGGGCAGATGAGGCAAGCAGATCAGTTGAGGTCAGGAGTTTGAGACCAGCCTAGCCAACATGTTACTTGGGAGGCTGAGGCAAGAGAATCGCTTGAACCTGGGAGGTGGAGGTTGCAGTGAGCCGAGATCACACCACTGCACTCCAGCCTGAGCAAGAGTGAGACTCCATCTCAAATTTAAAAAAAAAAAAAAAAAAAAGGGAGATCCCATTCTTTCTTGCTTACTTCTCGTAAGTAAGCTTAAGGCTGCTGTATCTGTCATATAACAAAAGTGAAGAAAATCTACATTCTTATTCTGTGTGGGAAGTGAAAAATTCAACATATGGAAGACATTTGGGGATGAATATTAAGTCACCTAGGTTAAAATTTGTGGGCAATGGTGCTTACATCTAGCACATTATGAATACTCAAATTGGATAACCACTAAGTATACTGGAATTGGTTTATAAAACCTTTTATTAAAAGCTTAATGTTTTCATCCAGAATTCTTAGCATCCCAGATTGTCCTAGGCAGCTATACCCTTCTGATAGGGTAAATCTTTGATAAGCCAATAAACAATGTAGAGTTTCTAGAGGTATATAACAGTAATATTTCACTTCCAATTCCCAACTCTTCTCCCATTTCTCTTACTTTCTGGACCAATGAGGACAAACAGAATTAAAATTTAATTCCGCTGCACAAGTATCTTCTCAAATGTGTGAAATCTTGTCCTTTTACACTATACCATTCCACTGCTACTTGTTCAGCTCTTATTGCCTAGATTATACTGCCTTTTAACTAATCTCACTGCTTAATAAACAGGTTTTCTTCTAGTCTGTTTTACTGCATTCTAAGGTATCTTTCTTAAAATGGAACTTTCTTGATTTAAAAATCTTCCAGTAGCTTCAAGAATCAGCCTATAAAGTTCTGACTTCTTAAAGACCCTTTGTGATCCAATCTAGACCATGCCTCTCTCTAGCCACCTTCTTTGATAAGAAGGAAAGGTACTCCTTGCTTATTTCATATTTTTCATCTTAGGAGTTCTGAACTATGAACTGAATTCCAAGTGATGTTCCTATACCTAGAACATTCTCTGCCTCCCAATCTTCCTGGCTACTTTATAAGACTCACTTATGGCAATTTGAGGCCATCACTATCTTTTCCAATCTGGATTTAGGTGCCCTTCCTGCTAGTACATGTCACATTGTATTGCAACGGTCCTTCCTTGTCTACTTCCTTCAGGTTGGTGGCTTATCTCTAGGTCCCTTAAAGTTTTAGCAAGAGACATTTAGTACTCATCCGTCTCCTAAATTGCTTGTACTTTTGTTTTTCCTTTGTTAGCTTTTAGATCTGTGTATTCTAGCCATTGATTCATTAGAGTTCCAGTACAGAATACTGACTGCTGCTGCCTTGTGCCATTTTACCTCCATTGAAGTGGTTAAGAAAGCCTCAGGTAAGACTCTCTATTTGTTGTCTTCTTACCTTTTCACAACTACTAATGGGACTATAGTCTCTGAACTTTAACATTCTGCTAAACATGAATTTAAAACTTTGGCAAAAAAAAAAAAAAAAAAAATTAGCTGCTCGGTGATTACCTTTCTGTTAGAAGTACTTTCCAATCCTGAATGTGTATCTACAAACAAAAAGACCAAATGGAATTTAAATACAGTTGAAACGAATCAACATTATAGTTCTGCTTTAAGAGTTCTTTGGGATTTGACCATTTCAATTTCACATGTAGAAGGTACTGGTTAAGAAGTTCTGAAGTCCCTTTTCCCTTCAACATAGTCATGTAAATAGTTTGAGAGTGATTATCTGTTCTGACATACTAAACTTTTTGGTTATGATTTGTTTTGGTTTCTTTTTAAAATAACTGTCTCAAAAACAGTACCAAGTACATCAGGCATATATAAGATAGTTTCTGATATACAACCTTCATGCTTTTCTAACTTTTTTCTATCTAGGTTTGGAGTGGGACAGTATTTCAGAATGTGTAGATTGGATGGTACCTTTTGTCAATGTAGTAAAAAGTACTAGTTCAGTGAAGCTGAAGACTTTTAAGAAGATTCCTATGGAAGACAGACATAATATCCAGACACATACAAATTATTTGGCTATGCTGGTATGTTTTTTTGTGAGTTTTTTGGCTTTGCTATCTGAATCTAGTAAGTAAGTAAAACTGATGGTAGGAACAGAATTCTTCTTCAGGCAGTTATATAAGATGATCAGGGGAAAGAAAGTTCTAATGGGCACACTGATTTCAAATGTAGAAAAGTTAATAAAATTACTTTGAAATCAAAGCAAGATTTGTGAAGTGTCTCAAGATCAATGCCAACAGTCTAAATAAGAGTTAAAAAAATATATAACATGTTACAGAAACTTTCAGAATATGACCCTTCACACTTGCAAAGACTATTAAAATTAGACCTAAATAATCTCAAATAAGTATCCAGAAGTCTGGTTTGACTATGATTTCTTCCCATGTATAGGAAGAAGTAAATTACATAAACACCTTCAGAAAAGGGGGACAGTTGTCACCAGTGTGCAATGGAGGCATCATGACACCACCGAAGAGCACCGAAAAACCACCAGGAAAACACTAAAGATAACTAAGCAAACAAGTTGGAATTCACCAAGTATTGGGTAGAACTGGTATCACTGAACTACTAAAGTTTTACAGGAAAATAGTGCTGTGATTGATTGTCCTAGCCAATTCATAAGTTACACTGCCATTCTTTGATTTTAAATCTTACAATTGGCACTAAAGAATCCATTTAATTATTTCCTATGTTAGCTGTTAAAGAAACAGCAGGACTTGTTTACAAAGATGTGTTCATTCCCAAGGTTACTGGATAGAAGCCAACCACAGTCTATACCATAGCAATGTTTTTCCTTTAATCCAGTGTTACTATGTTTATCTTGATAAACTAGGAATTTTATCATTGGAGTTTTCGACTGGGTAAGTGCTACCTTAAAGGATATATACTAAGTGATATAGTACTTTGAATCTAGTTAGATTCTCAAAATTCCTATACTCTTGACTAGTGCAATTTGGTTCTTGAAAATTAAACTTGTTTACAAAAGTTTAGTTTTGTAATAAGGTGACTAATTTATCTATAGCTGCTATAGCAAGCTATTATAAAACTTGAATTTCTACAAATGGTGAAATTTAATGTTTTTTAAACTAGTTTATTTGCCTTGCCATAACACATTTTTTAACTAATAAGGCTTAGATGAACATGGTGTTCAACCTGTGCTCTAAACAGTGGGAGTACCAAAGAAATTATAAACAAGATAAATGCTGTGGCTCCTTCCTAACTGGGGCTTTATTGACATGTAGGTTGCTTGGTAATAACCTTTTGTATATCACAATTTGGGTGAAAAACTTAAGTACCCTTTCAAACTATTTATATGAGGAAGTCACTTTATTACTCTAAGATACCCCTAAGGAATTTTTTTTTTTTTTAATTTAGTGTGACTAAGGCTTTATTTATGTTTGTAAAATTGTTAAGGTCCTTTCTAAATTCCTCCATTGTGAGATAAGGACAGTGTCAAAGTGATAAAGCTGAACACTTGACCTAAACTTCTATTTTCTTAAGGAAGAGTATCAAATATATACTGACTCCTAGAAATCTATTTATTAAAAAAAGACACAAAAACTTGCTGTACATAGGCTAGCTATTTCTAAATATTTTAAATTAGCTTTAAAAAAAAAAAAAAAATTCCAGCATCATAAAGTAGATTTAATTAGAAAACTAGATTGCTAGTTTGTTGTCAGATATGTGAATCTCTTCTCCCTTTGAAGAAATTATAAATTTAAGCTATTGTTATGGTATGAAGTCTTCTGTATAGTTTGTTTTTAAACTAATATTTGTTTCAGTATTTTGTCTGAAAAGAAAACACCACTAATTGTGTACATATGTATTATATAAACTTAACCTTTTAATACTGTTTATTTTTAGCTCATTGTTTAAAAAATAAAAGTTAAAAAAATTTAACTGCTTAAAAGTAAAGTTTTGCCATTGCTTGGAGAAACTTTTTTTTCCTTCTCTGCGCTGCCAGCTGTAACACTTCTTCTGGATTGCTTGCATTCAACTCTGTCTGGCCGATGGCTTTGATCTTCCAAAACAGAAAAGTGATGTTATTAGAGATGTGTCAAAAATTAAGTTTTGTTGGTACAAGTAATATAAAGCTATCCACATGCTAACAATGATAAAGTTTAATGATTAACTGAACCTCTAATTGTAAAACCGAAGAGTCTTGGGAAAAAATTAACATAAAGATTAACTAGGCCGGGTGCAGTGACTCACGCCTGTAATCCTAGCACTTTGGGAGGCCAAGGCGGGCGGATCACGAGGTCAGGAGATCGAGACCATCCTGGCTAACACGGTGAAACCCTGTCTCCACTAAAAATACAAAAAATTAGCCAGGCATGGTGGTGGGCACCTGTAGTCCCAGCTACTCGGGAGGCTGAGGTAGGAGAATGGCGTGAACCCGCGAGGCGGAGCTTGCAGTGAGCCGAGATTGCGCCACTGCACTCCAGCCTGGGCACAGAGCGAGACTCAGTCTCAAAAAAAAAAAAAAAATTAACCAGGGCCACTCTTAAGAAAGATGGACTGCTGAGCCATAGTTTATGGAATTCCTTAAGTGGCATTTTAATATATTAAGTAAATTCATGTAAATTTATTTGAAAGTATAAGTAAGCTCTACATGGTAATTTTTAGAGTTAAACTAGGGCTTCACTTGTTAATGTGCAAAAATAACTAGTGGCTCAGCACTATAGTGGCATACAGTGGCTCAACTTTTCACGATTAGAAAGAAGTGCCTCAACCAACTAAATATACACACTATTTTTTTTGCTATGGAGTGTTTAGGACCTTAAAATCTAGATTTTTCTTAAAAAAAATTTTTTTTTTTTGAGACGGAGTTTCACTCTTGTCACCCAGGTTGGAGTGCAATGGCGTGATCTCAGCTCACTGCAGCCTCTGCCTCCCAGGTTCAAGGGATTCTCCTGCCTCAGCCTCCCAAGTAGCTGGGATTATAGATGCCCGCCACCTGGCCCGGCTAATTTTTGTATTTTTTTTAGTAGAGACGGGGTTTAACCACGTTGGCCAAGCTGCTCTCAAACTCCTGACCTCAGGTGATCCACCACCTCAGCCTCTCAAAGTGGTGGGATTACAGGCGTGAGCCACTGCATCTGGCCTAGAATTTCTTTAAACAATAAGACTTCTGATATGTGGCTTGAAGAGAGAGATGATTATTCAGATATGATCATCAGGTATGGGAAGTTAGGGAATAGGAGAAATTGCTGGATGATGCCATTCAACATGAAGGAATGCATGTGGCCAACGTTGGTAGTAGAGTATAACCAGAGTTGTTTCACACAGGTATCCCAAAGATAACTGGCTATAAAAACTCGAAGTGTGAGACAGAAATTGGAATCGGAGCCAGATATTTGAGAGAAGTAATACACCCCATGTGGACACTAATCAAAACCGAGAGTGGATGAAATTACCTAGGGAGAATGTAGGGTTACAGAAAAGTAACCCAGGGACTAACTTCTTGAGAAAACCAAGTTTAAGGAGTAGGCAGAGGGAGACACCCACAACAAAGAAAAGGAAGAAATTAGAGAAAGCAATCCAATAAAAATGTCAGGGAAGCCAAAGGAATAAAGACTTTCAAGAATGAAGGAGATGTAATCAGGAAAAGGACTGGAAAGTATCCAGTGGATCTGGTGTTTGGTGGCTCTTGAAAGAAAAGTAAGAGCAGTGATGGCATTAGTCAAATTGCTGGCTTGAAGAGCTTCAAAAGCTAGGCTGAGAGGGATAAGGGGGCCGGAGGTGGAGGCACAGGCAACAAAAACTTGTATTAGGATGAAATATCTTATAGACTATGGAGAGGCTGACGACATAGGAAATCATATAACTCATTAAAAGGTTACTGAGGGGAGAGAATTCAAAACATAAAAATTTGCCTTCATCAAAGAGTAGTATAACCTCTGACGGGCTGCATAGTGGGCTTAACAATGAGTACAGCTGTAGATTATTTTAAAGGCAAGCAGCAGCAAATGAAATAGGAATTTGAAGCTAGCACTCACAAGGTCACCATTCCAAGACTAACATCCATGAGGACAGAGCCTGGCCAGTCTTCACTGGTATATGCCAAGCATAGAGGAGGTAAAGAAGTATGGAAAAGGTAGAGAGAGGACAGGGGCTTAAACAGGAAAGTCTAAAAATTAAGAGTCCACAAAGAGAATGTGGACCACCAAACTAGTGGCAGGTAAAAAAGCTGACGGGCCAACTAAGGTTGGAGACCAGTTTGGCAGTGGCACCAGTTGTAGAACTTTTTCCAATAGTCTCAGTGGCCCAAGAAAATAAAACACATAAGTTACTGAACTTATGCAGGGCTAGGGCTTTCCCAGGTCAGGTAAAGGATAAAGTGAAGATGCTAAAAATATTGATCAAGAGTAGCTCTATCAGCAGGGGTTCCCAAACCTGGTTCATCATCAGACTACCCGGGAAACAAAAAAGGGATTCCAGGGTCCCACTTCCGACCAACTGAATCAGTATTTCTCAGTGTGCAGAATGGTATTTGTCGTACTTAAGTAGAGAAGGGAAGATGGAAGGGAATGACTGGGAAAAAAATGTCACAAACCTGAACATCTCACTGATCGTGAGGGGCTCAGGAGCCAGGAAGTAAGAGAAGGATAGGTTATGGGCAGAAAGTGGGTTGCAGTATAAGATCTTACGTAGAATAATTGTGAGTGGCTGGTACAGAGTAAAAATAACACTCCATAGACCTGAGGCTGACAAGGACTTGTAAAGTCCTTGGTGACATCAGGGTGACAGGTAAATTCATCACGTCTTTTGACACATGTAGAGGAACAACCAGATGCTTACATGAGCTAGTAAGGAAGTAAGGTATGAAGGATAAGGGTCTCAAAAAATGATAGAAGTAGAAGTGGTTTGGAAATAGCAAAAGGGAGCTAGGAAAATTTTTCAATATTGCCTTCCAGCCCCAGGTAAATCAGAAAAGGGAGAATGAATAGCCTCCAATCAAGTAGAACTGGCCTTCATGTTCTTTTTCCTTTTTTTTTTAAGTGCTGTTATTATTCTGTTTCTTCTAAACAATGGGCATACACTTTAGTCCAAGTACAAAGTTTAAAAGACACTTAATAGCATTTTTAAAAATATAAGTGAAAGAGCAAAGAAAAGATATGTGGTGATACTGCTGCAGTAAATGTTAGACAAGTAAATATGGCCATACAATTTAAAATGTTGGCCCATACATCAAATTTAGATACAGAGTTCATCTAATCAGTGATTCTGGGGCACTTAATATGTGCCAGACACCATTCTAGGTAACAACTATGACAAAACAAGTCCTTATCCTCATGGGAAAATAGATATTAGGTAAACATACAGTATGTTAGATGTTGACAACTGTTTCAGAGAAAAATGTAAAAAGAAATGAGAATAAGAGTACTGGAGGGAAAAGGAAAGCAGACATTGTTACTTTATAAGATGATCAGGAAAGGACTGAGGAGACACCTGAGGGAAGTTGGATGTTCTTGGAAGAGAAAATTTCAAAGGCCCTTCTTAGGTGGTGAATGTTCTTGGCTTGTTCAAAAAACAGGAGGAGTACTGGTGTAGCAGAAATTAGCAAGGAGGAAAAGTCAGATGGATAGGCTACAGGTCAACTTGTATACAGCCTTATAAGCCATTGCAAGACTTTTAACTTTATGTGAGATGATAAGCCATTAGAAGGTTTGGGACTGAGAAATGACATGCTCTAATATTTTAAAATAACATATAATGACATGGAACAGCTAAAATTATCAAAAAAGGATCTTTTATGACGTAAACACTGATAATAAAGTTCTGGCAGTAACTAGGCACACAAAATCTATTTTTTGTTGGTTCACATCTTAACAATTGTTTAATATTCTGGAAACTATACCACTGAAGAAAGGCGTAAGGTAACTTACTGCAATTTGTCTTTTATCTGTTTCTCCTCTTTTATGATGAAGATCTAAATAATCAGTTAAGAAAAATAAATCTGACAGTATTAAATATAATGAGAGAATCTCAACTCATTTTCAGTTTTGATTTGGAAAATATACAATATTAAATATTCCTTTAACTTATAGAAATGGATCATTCTAACATCACACACATTGATGAAAGGATACAAGTCAAGTATTCCAAAATAGTAACATCCCATATGTAGTCGTAGTAGGAGTCCATAGCATCATGACTGAAAGACAGAATTCAGTTACTTCTTAAGCAGAAAAATGTTGACCTCATTATTTTAAAAAAATTATTCATACCTGTTTTGTTCTTGCAGAGATTTAAACGCTGTTTTGTAGTCGATTTCTCTGAGGAACTGACATAAAATGGCCACCTACATTAACAAAGATTTGAAAATGGTTTCATGTAATGAAAGCTTAGTTTTACAGGGTAATCTTGAATTATTTATATGAAGAATATATTCTTGAAGAAACCTTATAGATCACATTGAATCAGCTCATTTATGGATTCCACCCAATTTTAAGTTCAAAAACCTTTATACACGTGTCTGTCTGACCAATATTTTCTTCATCAGTGACCTAAACCACAAATTTTTAGAGGTCTGTTTGAATGAGAAGCTGGCAAAAAGCCAGTTCAGAAAACTGAAGGGGGTGGAAAACTGCCAAGCAAAAGTGTCATGACATTCAAGGACATACAGAGCGTGCAATTAAACCTTTCACAGCTGGCAAGTATAGATGCTCATTTTGGCAAAATTTAGGCTGCCAGTCTGCTTAACATAGAAAACATTTCACTCAGGTCATAATGTCCATCTCTTTAAAAAATAGTTTTTATTGATTTAATTCACAAACCATAATAGTTACCTTCTTAAAGTACCCAATCTGGTGAGTTTTAGTATATTCACCAAGTTGTACAACCATCACCACTATGTAATTTCAAAACATTTTCATTACTTCCCTCAAAAAAGTCCATTAATTAGCAGTCACTCTCCATTCCCTCTCACCTCAAGCCTCTGATAACCACTAATTTACTTTGTCTCCATACTCTGAACATTTCACATGAATGGAATCATAGACTATGTAGCCTTTTGTGTCTAGCTTCTTTCACTTAGTATAATCTTTCAAGGTTCAGCCATGCTGTATCACGCAACAGTAACTCATTCCTTTCTATGGCTGAATAATATGTCATTGCATGGATATGCTGCATTGTGTTTAGTCATTCATCATTT